AAAAAAACTATTTTAATTATTCATGAAAACTTTTTTGAAATCAATTTTATTAACAAATGTACAATTACAATAACTCCATAAATATTCATATTTTAAACAGAGTCTTTATTGAACGGCAAAAACATAAAAGGGAAAACATTTTTTATAATTATATCTAATATGTAAACTTGGTAAACAGAATAGGTAAGTTAGATGAGTTCAAATTGGATCACTTCATATTTTGAATTTATTGAATTGATTATTTATAATTTTAAATTAAAGTAGGTAGATTTATAATCTACTTGCATCAATCTCATATTGGATTGGGTGAATTTAATCTTTTAAAATATTAAAAATTTTTAATATTTTTTTATTTAAAAAAATAATTTTAATTAATTATTTAATAAATATTTATTGAATTAATTTTAATTTAATAATATAATAAATAATAATCATTTATATAATTAATTTTATTTTATATTTAAAAATTATAATTATAATTGTTTCCTAAAAAATCCTCTCTTCGTGGCCGTTTTGTGGCAAAATCGTGCCACTTGCTTTGCTCAAAGTAAAAAATATGGATTTTCTTGTTGACTCTCTTCTTCCAAGTGGTCAATCTCCATGTGGGATGGTTGAAAGAAAGTCAATTATGTGTTGAAGATGCACCTCAAATCAAATTAGACAATGTTGCAAAGAAGAGGGATGATTTCCTGTAAAATGAGTTATAAATTTACCTTGAACAGATTCAAGGACTTTCTACATCTAAGATCACAATAAAATTTGTTAATTGAATAGAGTAAGAAAGAAAGAGAAAGCTAGCAAATAATACGAGTGCATTGCAAAACTAGAAGGCAAATTAGGCTAAAATGAGCTATAGATTTTAGTATAACAAGCAAATTTAAGTAAACAACTATTGTTAGATTTTAACTAAATAATTTGCAAAAATGTAAATTGAGCTCTTTGAGAATAACATGAAGTTTTACAACATAAAATAATGAGATTGCATTAACTATAATGAAATCTATTTACAAAACTAAAACTTGATTGCATTGACAGAATTGAAATATGCTAACAAAAGTTGTAGAACTGGTCCAGAAGAAAACCTATGAAAAGGGACAGACCTCACACAAAAATAATTAAAACTTAAAACTGGAGAGTTTGAGAGCTAATCTCCTAATCTAGAAGTCAATTGAGAGAGTGACTAAGGCATTTTGCAAGGTAGATTGTGTAGTTTTTTCTCGAGAGGGGCAGGCCTCGTTTGAATGTGTTTCTTCTTCACATTTGTAGCCGGTAAATCTCCAAAAAATGGCTTGTAACTAGCCAAAACTCAGTTACAAATATCTAGTCAAGACTACATGTTCTGACTAGACATGTCATCATCATAAAAGCATTTCAGTAAGGAAAATGGAAATACAGAAGAAGAAGAAGAAGAACAAAAGCTCAGGTTTCTAAAAAGGAACAAAAATGAAAATAAAAACGCAAAGGACTATTGAAGTTAAAGAGGATTACCATTGTTGAAGTGAATGAGGCAGAAGGTCCAGCAAATTCAGGTCCTCCATGCTTGTGGATCTCTGAGTGTAATTCTGGAGCCTAAGCAACAAGGGTTAGTAGAATCAATGAGGCACATTCTAATAAACTAAAGAAATCAATCAGAAGAAATAAATCAGACTTGTTGGTCAGTAGATTATCAAAATTATCTAATCGCACTTGGTGCACCTTCATGTTTATCTATTGTAAGTGATGCATCCACAGCATAAATACAATTTCATGCATATTAACCTGGTAGCTAAACTAACATACTTTCACCATTTGTATTTCAATCACAAGGCTTTCTTCATTGAGGTACTAAGCATCCCATTTTTCAAATGCTGAACCAAGTGTCAGTACCACTATGAAACATTTAAAATCCCCAATCCAAAATAATAACAGGAAGAAGAAGCTACTGGTCAGTAACATTAATCCAAATTTCCATAACAACATGCGCCAATGACCAAAATTATAATTGTCAACACCTCTAAATATAAGAAAATCCACAACAGAACTGAAACAGGATAAGTGTATCAGGTTCTAAATCTAAAGCCCATCCTAAACCAAGATTTCATAACTAATGCTTCAGCTTCACAAAAATTAAAGTTCCAAAACATAACCATCAACAAAGATGGGAAACTACCTTAGTGGAAACTTCTAAAGATTTGCGGTAAAGTTCATTGGACGGATCCTACAAAAACACAAAAGCAACAGTACAATATCATCGACCTCAACCATTTTAAAATGTTTACACATGTATATAAACTGAGTGAGATTATGAAATGAAAAAGGTTACCTCTTCAACAGCTTGTTTGAAGTAGACGGCAGACTTGTCAAAATATTCCCTAGCCTCATCCTGATCAGGAGTTAGAAAAGCTTGAGAAGTGAGGGCATTTCCCAAGCACCAAAGAGTATCATGTTTTTTTGGATTAAGTGACAATGCCTCCTCCAGCTTTGAAATGGATTCTGTTTAAAACAAAACAAATCGTGTAAATTGTAGTCAAAATTAAAACTTTGACAAATTTGAAATTTCCCATGATTCCTATAAAATTTAACATAGATTTTCTTATTTTCAGCTGCTAATTAAATTCAGCTAACACTACTTTTCCTAATTAATTTGGTCAGAACACCCTAAACAGGATTTTTTTTTTTCAACCAAATTGATATTATTCAATTTCATCTAAAAGAAGGCTAAATGAAATAATAATTGAGAAATAGAAGAAAGATCGCACCTTGAATCATTTTCTTCGAATCTGGAACGCTCTGAAACTGAGATAATTCCAGCAAAGCTCCTCCCCATCTCGTCAAGTTCTGTGCAAACAAATACCAAAAATGGACAATCAAACAAGCAAATATCGTTAAGCTTCCATTCTATTAAATGAGAATTGGAAGCTGTTATTCCTCTTAACTTTCTCAGCATCCAAACAAACCATTAACAAGAAACACAAAAGAAGAACAGAAAAACTGATCGAAGAACAGAGAAACGAACATCCACATCGAGAGGGTTCTTGGCGTAGGTAGTCTCCGCGGTCTTGCGGGCATGCTCGAAGAAGAGCAGTCTATCGAAGTCGCTCGACATGTCCATGGCTGCTTCTGAAGCTTTTACTTATTCTTGGTCTTCTTCACCCCTTTATAGATTTCCCTCCGCACGAATCAACTACCGTATTACTGTCTCTGACGGTCAAAACCCTAAAATAGCAGAGTCTCAGTCAAGAATTCTTGAGCAACGTGGCACCTTTTTTATTGAATTGTAAAAGATAAGTGAAAATATACTTTTTAATACAAGAGTAATATTTTTTACTAATTTTTAGCAGCCTTTTAAAATTTTCTTTTTCTACGTATAAAATATAGTGTGTTTTTTTGTTTTTGGACCAAAAGCGTGGTAAATATTT